GCTTGGATTTAGTGTAAGGGAAATGAACAGAAACTTCCAGTTGTTGATGTGTAACTGCTAATTAGTTCTTTGATGGAATGAGAATGCTTCCGTCGGTCAGGGCCTCTCCAAGCAGGGTCTTCAGAGCTAACATAATCACTGGCAGTGCTGCTGGCTGATGTGGAAGCCCTGCCTGAAAGGAGGCAGCTCCTGTTCCCCATCAAGGAAGGTGCACTTCCCAGGCTGTCCTGGGGAGGGCGCCCGGGCCTCACACATGTCCAGAAGTTCCAGTCTGTTTTCAGTGAGGATTCACTGGGGGTGTCTGATGAGAGCCAGTTTAGTCTATTTTCTTTTTGGAAGAGTAATTACAGCATTTCAAACCAAGAGGTGACACAGAGAATTACATAGAAGAAGAAATGGAGGCAACAGGCACCCTTTCCTAAGCAGTTTTTACTCAGAGGAACTTTACCCTAAAAGATAAAAACAGCCTGGTTTGGAGATGCTTGCCAACTTCTACATGGGATTACTTACAGGCACCCTTTCCTAAACTTCTACATGGGAAAGTGCCAAAGCGATGAATGTTGAGTTTATACAAAATAAGGCCTCAGGCTGTTTGTTTTTCCAAGTTCCAGGGCTAAAGAAGCCCATAAAATGCAACCACAAATGCCATTGTTCTAGGGTTTTCAAAATGGCAACTCATTTATCTGCCACCATCAAAATACAGGCAAATGTGCAAATCTGTTTCTTTTTGACTGTCCTATTATCTTTTCATGCCAGTAGTTAAAGATCATCCCCTAGGCTTGTCTGAATGTGGCAAAGTTATTCTATTGCTAGATAACTACAGAACTATAAAGGAGGGTTTTATCAGAATCTGAAATGCTGTTCTAGAAAGGACTGTTTCATTATGCAGGCAATATAACAAGACTTTAAATTTTGACATAAAATGGAAACTACAATTTTTAATACTGTTTCTTTTTTTGAGTTCTGTTTAGCACGAAGAAGGGTCAGGGATATATATATCCCTGATACATATATGTCTTATATTATGATATGTCAGCCAAACTGGCATCTCCTGATGATGCTAAGAAGCCCTTTCTGAAACATTAGCAGAACTTAGGAAAATGCTAAGGGGTTTGTTTCCCTTCTGTACTTTATTAACAAATTTACTGCAAGTTAGAAAAATGAAGAGAAGCAGATATGAAGCTTATGGTGTGATTGTTGCTAAATCAAAGAAAAATAATGAAAAACGAACTGATAGCAGGCTACTTAGCATTTGCTCTCTAATTAATTTTGTGGAAAGGTGGACATAATTACACTACCCAGGAGACCATGCTGCTGCAGATGCTCCACTCAACCTCAGGAGGAAGAGAAAAGCAAGCACAAATCAAGGTGATCCCTGGCCTCTGCAAGACAATACCAGAAACACCTTCCAGGGTCCTTCACGGGATCAGAACCTAAGCAGCTGTGCTTTACAGCATTTGCACCTGCAGATACACCTTCCATGGGGCAACAGAACTCACATTCATCAGCAATGATGGGTGTCTTCAGGAAAAGGGCAACATTGTCTTGAATTATGATTTAAAATACTAGGAAAGGTGTATCAAAAAACGCTCTTTGATACATGTCCATGTATAAATGTGTAATGTACCTTAGAGACACACAATTCTTGTAAAAGTTTCATAAAGCATCAATCTTTAGAAAGCTGTAAGAATGCAGCTTCCCAAAAGGATGCATTCCCTGGAAATTGTGGAAAGCTGGTATTTTTCTTTACACCCTCCTTCAAGTAATAGGATAGGTATCCTTCTTTGTCCATATGAGTTAGAAGAATAGAGTTTCATGACTCTTTGGTGTAAATCATTAACAATAAAAACTGATATTCAATTAAGGGAGGGCTCAAGCATCCATGGAAAAGTGATGCTGAGATCAGTGTGCACCCTGGGGGTGGTCTTCACTTCCAAGGACTCAAGTGGAAGGAGGGAAGACTTGATATGAAGGACGTTCCAGCTCACCAGGGTAATGTCTGTGGATTCGAGTGTAGGCGCCTCATGAGGCTTTCCTTTGCCTTTCGTGGGTCAGTCTCTTTGAAGAGAGGTCCTGGGCAGCTAGCAAGATCCCACGATTTTGGGGCAGAGACCCCTTCACTGATCTCAAACTCTTCTTATGTTCATTTAGCCCACAGATAATTGTTAAGAGGCAACTCCACGTGGGACTCTTCTATACACTCTGGACAACAGCAAGTGTTTACTAAGTGCCAAGATTCTTCTAAGGGCCTTAAGTATATTCACTTATTTGATGCTCACCATAACCCATTAAGTTGGGCCTGTTCTCATTGGTATTTTGTATCAGGTACCAAGATGTTAATCATCTGGTTCAAGGTCACACAGGCTGAGTCAGGATGTGAACACAGGCACACTGGCCCAGGGCCCATGTTCTAGTTTACCAGGCCGCAGTGACCATGACGGGTGAGATCCCTGTCCGCAAGGAAGGTCAGAGAACAGGTAAGGCCACAGTAATGTTATTTTCAGTATTGGTAAGTGCTATGAGCAAAACTAAAGCACGGTAAGGGGACAGAGTGAAGAGGAAAGGAGGCTATTTAGACAGCAAGGCCAGGGAAATCCTCTGTGAAAAGGTAGAATCTGAGTAAAAGTCTGAGTGGAAAGGAGAACCAACCTATGGGAAGGTCTGGAGAGGTAGAGGGTACAAAGGGGAGCTGGCAGTGCACCAGGGACATCAAGAAGGCATTTGAAAGAGTGTCAGGGAGAAAGAGCAGTGGTGGGCCTTTGAGGACTTCACAAGGAGTTCGGATTTTACCATCAGAACACAGCGAAGCCCCTGGAGGGGTCTGAGCAAGGGTGTAACCTGCTCTGATTTTCCTTTTAAAAAAGATCACTCAGGCTGTGTGTGGAGAGTAGGCCCCTGGGGTGGGGAGCACCAGGGAAGCAAGTTAGAAGACTACTACAGAGGCCAGTGCAGAGAAAATACAGATGCCACTTTATTTTAGGACTTTGGGCCAAGGCCAACTAATACCAGCTTAGAGTGAGGTGGCTTGGGGAGCCGCTACATCTCGTAAGCTAACTATGTCTCTGGTAGGTGTTAACGCTTGGATTTAGTGTAAGGGAAATGAACAGAAACTTCCAGTTGTTGATGTGTAACTGCTAATTAGTTCTTTGATGGAATGAGAATGCTTCCGTCGGTCAGGGCCTCTCCAAGCAGGGTCTTCAGAGCTAACATAATCACTGGCAGTGCTGCTGGTTGATGTGGAAGCCCTGCCTGAAAGGAGGCAGCTCCTGTTCCCCATCAAGGAAGGTGCACTTCCCAGGCTGTCCTGGGGAGGGCGCCCGGGCCTCACACATGTCCAGAAGTTCCAGTCTGTTTTCAGTGAGGATTCACTGGGGGTGTCTGATGAGAGCCAGTTTAGTCTATTTTCTTTTTGGAAGAGTAGTTACAGCATTTCAAACCAAGAGTTGACACAGAGAATTACATAGAAGAAGAAATGGAGGCAACAGGCACCCTTTCCTAAGCAGTTTTTACTCAAGGAACTTTACCCTAAAAGATAAAAACAGCCTGGTTTGGAGATGCTTGCCAACTTCTACATGGGATTACTTACAGGCACCCTTTCCTAAACTTCTACATGGGAAAGTGCCAAAGCGATGAATGTTGAGTTTATACAAAATAAGGCCTCAGGCTGTTTGTTTTTCCAAGTTCCAGGGCTAAAGAAGCCCATAAAATGCAACCACAAATGCCATTGTTCTAGGGTTTTCAAAATGGCAACTCATTTATCTGCCACCATCAAAATACAGGCAAATGTGCAAATCTGTTTCTTTTTGACTGTCCTATTATCTTTTCATGCCAGTAGTTAAAGATCATCCCCTAGGCTTGTCTGAATGTGGCAAAGTTATTCTATTGCTAGATAACTACAGAACTATAAAGGAGGGTTTTATCAGAATCTGAAATGCTGTTCTAGAAAGGACTGTTTCATTATGCAGGCAATATAACAAGACTTTAAATTTTGACATAAAATGGAAACTACAATTTTTAATATTGTTTCTTTTTTTGAGTTCTGTTTAGCACGAAGAAGGGTCAGGGATATATATATCCCTGATACATATATGTCTTATATTATGATATGTCAGCCAAACTGGCATCTCCTGATGATGCTAAGAAGCCCTTTCTGAAACATTAGCAGAACTTAGGAAAATGCTAAGGGGTTTGTTTCCCTTCTGTACTTTATTAACAAATTTACTGCAAGTTAGAAAAATGAAGAGAAGCAGATATGAAGCTTATGGTGTGATTGTTGCTAAATCAAAGAAAAATAATGAAAAACGAACTGATAGCAGGCTACTTAGCATTTGCTCTCTAATTAATTTTGTGGAAAGGTGGACATAATTACACTACCCAGGAGACCATGCTGCTGCAGATGCTCCACTCAACCTCAGGAGGAAGAGAAAAGCAAGCACAAATCAAGGTGATCCCTGGCCTCTGCAAGACAATACCAGAAACACCTTCCAGGGTCCTTCACGGGATCAGTACCTAAGCAGCTGTGCTTTACAGCATTTGCACCTGCAGATACACCTTCCATGGGGCAACAGAACTCACATTCATCAGCAATGATGGGTGTCTTCAGGAAAAGGGCAACATTGTCTTGAATTATGATTTAAAATACTAGGAAAGGTGTATCAAAAAACGCTCTTTGATACATGTCCATGTATAAATGTGTAATGTACCTTAGAGACACACAATTCTTGTAAAAGTTTCATAAAGCATCAATCTTTAGAAAGCTGTAAGAATGCAGCTTCCCAAAAGGATGCATTCCCTGGAAATTGTGGAAAGCTGGTATTTTTCTTTACACCCTCCTTCAAGTAATAGGATAGGTATCCTTCTTTGTCCATATGAGTTAGAAGAATAGAGTTTCATGACTCTTTGGTGTAAATCATTAACAATAAAAACTGATATTCAATTAAGGGGATATGTCAAAGCTTAAAGCTCTTAATGAAAAACAGCACATCACTGAACCATCTTACCTGTCGGCGGATTATTCCAAGGTCTCTTTTGGCTTTATTCACTAGGGTTTGGATTTCTACAGGATCCTTTACATTCTTATTTTCTCGGAATGCATCTCTTATCCTCCTGACAGTGTAAGTTCTAAATGAATTCAGGGGAAAAAAAAGAAGAGGTGTCAGCAGTCTGAAGCTGTGCTTGTAAATGAATTCAAAAGCTTTTCCTTTGGAATTAACTGTCTGATATTTCCCCGTGGATAATCCACTTTGATCTTAGCTCTTGAGACAGACCTATCCATTACTATTCTGGGATGACTAAGCAAACAGACTTAGGGAAATAAATCCACCCTAACCAAGTCACATATAAATGCAAACTGTGACTGAAATGCTCCTTAGATTCCTGGTTCCTTATTCAGGTCTGGTCTCTCTCCATTAACACAGATAACTGAATCTTTAATATACATAGACAAGGCACAAATTAAGAGATGAAATGATGCAACACATATGCATGCACTAGGACAGGGATCTATGCCAAAGTTGGCTTAGCTTTCCAAATTTGTCCTATCTTTTGGCTGTTTAATCCCCTTGTGATAAACCACATATAAGAATCCACACTGGGATCCTGACACAGTTGAGAGTACAGAGTACACCAAAATGCGTTTCTCCACCTTTAAAATGCCTACATGTGCACTCACATGCACACATTAACACCTCCTTCCCCCCAGGTCTAAATTACATGCAGTACAGGACAGCAGTTCAAGAGCAAGGCGTTCAAATCAGACTGGCTTGGGTTTGAATTATTGCTCCAGCTCCTACTGATTGTGTAAACTCGGGCAAGCTTCTTAACATAAGTCCATGTTTCTTCCTCTGTCAAATAGGCATAATACTGCCTACCTCTCAAGGCAGCTGGGAGGATTAAGCTTTATAGTGTGTGTTTGGAATTTGGTACAGAACACGGTACATAGAAAGACTCAATAAATGACAGCTATTCTTCTTGTTAATACCTCAATGCAATTAGCATTCACCTCTCCTCATGTCACAACTACACCTCATTCAGCATCCTCAGGGTATATACCACAGTGTGTGTACAGGGGGTCTATATAATTAGCCACAACAGCTGATTTAAGAGTCTTGAACCTGATATACTCCTACACTCAGACAGTCATGGCCTTAACCCCCATTCTTTCCTGTTCTAACACCAGAATGAAGACAAGAGACTGAGATGAAACCCCCCAAGTCAGACATATTACACACAATTTTCTCTGGTCTTCTATGATTTCAGACTGCTCTACTTTTAACTTTAAGTACCAACTAAAGAATGCACGTGCAAATATTAGGAACAGTTAGAATGGGAACAGAGGCAAAGAAATGAGAGAAGGGGAATGTAATTACCTTGAGAGTTGGGGGGTGGGTGTTGGGAGATGATACAACTTACGGGGAAATCTGATCTTAGAGAAGATTAATTTTGTTCTAGAAAACTTTCTAAAGTAAGAAGAAATTTTAAATTAAAAATTCAAGTATCAGGTCATTTGCCTTTAAAGGCAAGAGTAAAATGAGATCTCATAACATTAAGAACCATAAAGGAGGAAGACATTTTAAAACTTGTACTTTCAGGATGAAAGCTGTTGCGGAGAAGTTCCTCTGAACCTCGTGAGCCAAATGGAGTACTCATGTTTCTGGGTGCTCAGTATCAACCTTAGGGTGGTGATGACTGGAAATGGAATCCTTGCACTAGCAGATGCCATTAACAACTGGATTCATTCGCATATAAAAGCACATGGGAGGATTTCACTGATAGATTGTATTAAGTATAGATTGCCTCATGTGTAGACGCTAAGCTAACAGATTTTAGATAGTAGAGAGGTAAGCTCAAAGCAATTTCTGGTGCACTTTATTGCACAGCATAATGGTTGTTTATATAACACAACATCACTGTTCTTCCTCACACCCACACACTTCTCCAAAACAATTTCTTTTTTGGTGGTGATGGGAGCAGAGAGTGAACAAAATAATTTAGTTCTAATATTTTATTCCATATGCAGAACTGGTTTTCTAACAGGAATTAGCCTCAGGAAATTATCCATTTGTCTTAGTTCTTTCTTCACTTAGGATGCTGGCCAGGCTTTTTGGAAAAATAAAATGGACAATAGTAGTCACTACTAAGTTCATTTTTCTACAAGTTAGTGACTAGCTAGGAACAGCTAGGAAAAAAGGAAGGTGGCATGGAATGCAAAGACCTAAGTTGTTCTGAGGTTCAAGGAAATTAGAAAACAGCTAAGACACTCAACAGTTTCTATCAGTTGAACTCGAGGTCCAGGGTTCTAACTATTCCACTGTATATTCCTGTTGTCTCCCTAATCAACAAAGTCTATACCTAAAGGAAAGAAATGCTAGATTTTTAAATTAATTGTGTTTAAAGCAACCAAAAATTGTTCTTCCAATTTTGGAAGCACCTTTGACACGAATGATGTAATGGTTTCTTCTTCTCTTCCTTGCCATTCTTTCTCCTCCACTGTCTAAAACAGCTTTCTTTTGCCCTAAGAGAAGACACCACATTGGCTGAGAACAATAAACTAACTGCTGCATGAATAGTTTTTCAGTTGTATGAATTATTACAAATGATCATAATTTTGTGAAGGTGATCACAATTCTGGCACTGGATCTTCAAATTTTGTAGGAGAGGGCAAACCACTGATTATTTCAATCCTGCCTCTGCCTTGGATTTTATCATTTACATTTCTTTTCCAGTTACTAAGATAAACCATTCATCCTCAAACACATTCTGGCTATCAGCCTCTTGACAATATTACTGAGCAAGAACATTTCAAAGAAAAATGTGCAGATGCTGCAATGAAATGGCAGCCAGCTGCTGCACAGAGCCCGGCGTTAGGATGAACCTAATGTGAGTCAGATGCTGTTTGAAATGAAGCATGCAAAATTAACAAATATAGGCAACAGCTACCACCTATGGAAAAGCAGACTGCAGCCACAGCAAGAGGAGGGCTATGCTGCTCGCCCAAGCACGGCTCTCTCTCTCCCCTCCTGGGATTTGGAGTTTTTCGGTGCTTCCTTGTACAGGAGATTCCCATTTGGCTTTTCTTCTCCACCCCAGCCTCTGCCCTTTGGTTTGCCCTCAGACCTCCCAGAACATATGTTCTTCTACTGGCTATCCTTTCACCATCACAAGGATCAAATTCCTTTATGAGACTCCTCCATCCATTACAATTTCCCAGTGCAAAGCAACACGCAGGCAGTACCAATGAAGGCTCTATAGCTCTGAGGTCTTGCTTCACTTTCTCCCCTTCTAGAACCACTGCCAGCCAAATGGAGGCTGTAATAATCACAGCCTCTCAGCACCTGGAGGCTCACATTGGCTTTAGCATGCAAAAGGTGAGATTTAGAAGCCAGTTGATGTAATACTCCTTTCTGTCACCCTTCATCCTCACCCCAAGTGCTGGTTTCTCTGCTTATCAACCCTGTGACAACATCTCTGCTTTTTCCTCCCTGCCCAACCCCAATCAAGTATCCAGTAACAGAACAGCTCAACCCTTTCTTTGGCCACGTTGGGGCAAACTCCTGTAACTGCTGGGAAAGGGAAGTCCTCCATCTGCTTGCTTTAACTCAAAACATTCCTTGCTCCTGGAGACAGTGCTTCCATTACAGCCATTTGGAGGAAGCTGCTTAATTCTGCACGCCTCCAGATTCCACAGGCTGAGAGGAGGGTGCCAGTACGTTCCTGGATCCTACTGCTGCTTATGGATCATCAGTTCCCCTGTGCATCTTTGAGGCTAGGCTACCTAGTGAAACCGTGCTGTACATCTCCAGGATGCTGTTGTCTGCTCACTTCTCGAGGTAAAGCCTCAAGATTCATCCAGCCTTAACTCTAACAGGTATTCCAGTGCATACACAGACCATCAAATTTAGGTAACTTAAAAAACAGTCAAAATTTTTAATAAAAATAAGACCTTTTAAAGTCAATAATTTTTCTAGTAAGATAGATGACTGTTTGCAATCTGCTTCACTGATGTTGTTCCATAGCCAGTTGGTTTTTCCTCCTGCACTGTAGATCTATTAGCTATTTCTTCCTAGTCTTTGTGGCCTCATCTTACTGTGCTGTCTCTTAAATGTTCCACTCTCAAGGGCTCCATATTGGACCTCTTCTCTTTTTAATAAAATCTCTTTCAGTAATTGCGTCTGTGCCCAAGGTTTCAATTATCATTCATGTGTGTGTGTGTATGTATATGCCATTGGCTAAGAAATCTTTCTCTCACCCATACCTACTTTTTGAGTTCGAATATAACCCAATTGCCACTTGGACTTGTCAAGAAAAGACCCACTATACCCACTACAGGTTCTTCCACAGGACACTTTCAAAACAATCTTTCTTTCCCCTTGCCCCCAGTGGATCTGGGGATTCCTCCTAAATTTCTTCCTTTCCCTTAATTCCTTATGTTCAATCAATCACTAAATCTTACTGTTTCAACCATCCACATGCCTTCTGAATCACCTTCTACTTTTCCAAACTCTCAGTTTTTTCCAAAACCTAATCTTGGTTAAGGCTCTTACCTCTCAGATTAATTCAAAGGACTTGGGATTGCTGTGCATGTATATGTGTGTAGTATATCATAAAATGGATAGTAACACCAAGAGAAAGAAAGCTGAAGGATCATTTCAATGTGGTTATACTCTGGTTTGAACTTAACAGAAAGCTTCCTTATGAAGTTAAGTTCCCATACAAGGTAAGCTACATACAGTTGGGATTTTTATCATTTACCCGTGGATTTTAAGTGCCTGGCTCACAGATTGTCCTCAGTAAATATTTACTCAATAAGTGAACTTACCAAAATATTACGGGCAATATCAAAAAGACCTTCAAAAAATACAAATAATTAATAAGGAAAATATAACAAAGGATAGGAAACTGTAAAAGAAATAGAATGAAACCGGTTCGCAGCACAAAGACTGAAATGACCTCTGAAAGGAAATGATTACAGAATTTGCAATGGGAATTCACGAAAGATGTATGTATTGAATGCTTATCAGGTAAGCACGGCGCAAGGTGCTAAGGATACAGTGGAGATGAGCCAGGCTATTGAACTCACGGACTGGCAGGGGATGAAATCTACATATAGAGAGATGAAAGAGGAAATAGAGGCCATTCAAAATGAACATAGGGGGTTAAGGAGACTTCCTTGGGGTTAATGGAACAGTTCTAATCTTGACTGGGGTGGTGTTTCCACAGGCCTATGTATTTGTCAAAACACTGAACTGTACACTTAAAATGGATGCACTGGACTGTTTCATCAACTATTCCTCAATAGGTAGGCTTAAAAAAATTTTTTAAAATAAATAGTATAGGAGTTATATTAACCCACTTTTGAGAAAAGCAAAAGAAGAAAAAAAAAACTAAACACAAAACAAAGATTGCAACTGTAGAGAATTATATACATAGCTGAAGGAAGTAAGAATTAACAGTGTTACAGAAACCAGAATAGAAGACAAACTAGAAAATCAAATCTAAAACAGAAAAATTAAGTGAGTTAATGAAAAAGATATAAGATTAACCTTCAGAATAGGGCAAAGGTATATAACCTATGAGTAATAAGTATGAAAAAACTGAACTGAGTACTAATTAAAATTGTAATGGAAGAAAATGTCCCAGAAATGAGTATAAAAAATGGAGAAGACTCACTGAGATTTAACAAACATAGTACCATGCCAAGATATTTCTTAAAAAACCCTGAGCTCCAAGGTCAGAGAAAAAATACTTTTAGAAAGTACAAAGAAGAAAATTTAAGTAGATAACATTGAATGGACTACAGATAAGTGTAAGTATAGCCTCAGATTCCTATTTTCACAATTCACAAAGAAAAAAGGCTGCGTTCCACAGGCATTTGTAGTGCTCTTTTGAGGGTTCAAAGTGATAACAATATCCATAACTTAAGGCACAAGTGCCATGCACAAGGTATTGTGCTAAGTACCAGATATACATTATCTCACTTAATACTCACCTATGGTGACTCAGAGAGTTTAAAAACATTTAGACCAAGATTACACGTCCAATAAGAGGCAGACCTGGGTTTTGAAGGCAGTCTGTGATTTCCAGCCTCAAACTATGCCTCCTTCAAAGGTCGATAAACTCTACCCAAAATTCGATAAGCACTTCGTATAAACCAAGTTGTCATTTTGAAAGGGCATTAAAAACACCTGTCTCTCGCATCACAAGACTTAAAGAGATCATCTTACCTCTCAACACTGCTTTAAGTGTTCCCACAAATAGTTCAAGCACGAAGCATACCTTAAGAAAAGACAGGTGGCTGAGAGCATTATAAGGGAAAGAGCTACTGACATAAGCAGGAAGAGTAAGTGAAATTATTTAATTGCTTAAAAAAGGAGGGCAGTGACCATGAGAAGGGCTGTGGAGTGAGGAAGGTAAAGTGACTATCAGAAAACTCAATTTGGAGACCAAAGCTTCTAAGTTTTTGGGCAACTAAATAAATAAACCTATTACATACTTAGAAATAAAACCTATTACTACTTCCCTAGCGGTTTTCCACTGTATTCAGGGAAATGGTCAAATGCATTAGCATGGACAGTGTACTGCTGCTCAGCTTCTCACTCCAGCAAGCACCACTGCAGCACGGAACCAACTCAGGCTAGATGGGAAGCCTTG